AGTCTCATCTGCAGACAAGGGTAATAAGCTGTAGAAACTATGTGACTGAGAGACTGTGAGACATGCTTCAATCAATGATCACGATTGGGATGAAAAGGGTCTGACTGTAATTGAGATAACAGAAACTGGTACGATTTGATTCAGTCTGGAGCAATTCCTAGATCATAATGTGAATCATAGATCTTGGATAGTAGTTATTACCAATGGAATAATAACCTACTGCAGTAATGAGGACGTTACAACTATTGTAAGGTTCTGGTTACAATAAAGCTAGTAGCACATGAATGGATAAGGAATAAACATTTCAATCATTAGCATACAGGACTGGAACAGAAAATAGCAGACAGAATACCAAGTGGGACATTTGCAGGTTTTGAATTTCACTTCACAATAACAACACAAAAAGATATCTGATTCCTAATATCAGGACCCATCAGGAGAATCCCAAAAGCATGCCTTAAGTATATGACTCAGCCTAACACATGAAAATTTTGAGTGCATTTCCCTGATCTTTTTAGGCATCACAACTTCTTGTAAACACCTCTGACCTTTGTCAGGAATTACTTACAAAATAGCACATCTCAAGAATGTACCTCGCATCCAAAGCACTGTAAAAATACTTTGTGGACTTGTAATATTATTGCTTCACAAGCACCAAGATTCTTAAAACCTCTGCTGTTAGAAAAAAAGTATTATTTGAAAAAACATTCAGACAAAAATTCTCTTTTAAAGGGGAATAAAATTAATAAACTTACAAAAAAATATTTTATCAATAATTGTCACAATTGATAAAATTTTCAGGTAAGAAACAGCCAAGTGTTTGGATTTTTATTTTTATTTTTGAAAGAAGTGCTGATTTACTATATGCCTGGTCTGTGAAAAGGGATTGTAGCAGAACTGGGCTCACTCATTGCACCCACGTGAGCAGTATGTCATCTCTCATCATGCAAACAGACTCAGAGGATTCAGCTCTCTGAAAGCATTTGTACTCACATGCATGGAACGTAAATATGCCTTTAGTAGAATTTATGGATAAGTAAAAAACCTGTGATGATATCATAATAATTTTTTTTTTACATTAACTGGATTGCTTTCATACAAAGTCGGAAATAGAGGAACTGCTGCTGCTCTCAAATCCAAGCTATGGTCAGTCCTAGGATCACTGTATATCAGCAGTACTCACCACCCTTCACCAGACTTGATCCACTAATGGTGGATCAGCATTTTCATGAGGAAAAACTTCTAAAGAAATTCTCCTGCACCAGTGATAGTCATACAAAACAAATGATTCACCTCAGCACTGTCAATACTCCATCAATGGCGGAGTAGAAACTTCAGGAATTCTAGCAGACTTAAATAGGATTGCCAGCCTCGTGGCGTCTCCAAGACGCCATGTATTCAAAGGTAGTTCAGAATCTCAGTTGCATTTCCTTTTTTCTGTGTTTTTCCTTAGCTAAAATCTATTCACTTCTCTGTAAAGAAAAGGGTTCTTGGTCTTCTTTTGACTTTTTATTCTGCTTATAAAGAAGCTCCTTCTTTTGGTTGCTCATCCACAATAACTTTGTGCACCAGGGACTTCTATCAGAAATATGGATACTTACCATCAAAAAAGACCACTTAAAACATTTTAACAAAATAAGAATGTACATGGACATACAAATGAGTTTGCTTTATGAGGTACAGTTGGCCAAAGAGAAACCAAATAATTGAAAAGACATGCACAAAGCCTGTGACCTTCTGAAAAAAATAAAAAGCAGATTTGTTTTTATTTTTATTTCCATGTGTACTTTGTGCTAAAGGTTTAAGTAAATTATGTAAGAAGTAATTGAACTCTAGATGCTTCTGATTATAATGAAAGACATATTGGTCATTGTGTCTTTTCTTCCAAATCTCAGGATGTGGAAACCACTACTACGCACCCACACTCTTGTCCTTGTGTACCTCAAAACAAATTTTAACTGGAAATAATATTCATTCTCGTAGTAAAGTCTTGTCAGAAAAAATAAAAATATACATACAGCATTGACTCCTAATGGCACACCTGCTAAGTCCAGCAGAATGACTTTGAAAAGACGAAGTTTGGTCATTAGACTCACTGAGACACAATTTAGGGGTTAAAATTGCAGTTATTTGCTATCATCAAATAAAATCATAGAATCATAGAATGGTTTGGGTTGGAAGGGACCTTTAAATCATGTAGTTCCAATCCCTCTGCTATTGGCAGGGACACCTCCCTCTTGATAGGGTTGTCAAAGCCCCATCCAGCCTGGCCATGAATGCTTCCAGGGAGGGGCCATCCACTGCCAATCTGGGCAACCTGTTCCAGTGTCTCACCACCTGCACAGTAAAGAATTTCTTTCCAATATCTAGTCTAATAAATAAATAATGATAATAATAATTGTAAAATTTTTAAAAAAGAAGAATCACAAATCTGAAGAATTTTGTATGACATATCAGCTTAAACTTTAATCATGGAGAGGCTGTATTTTATTACATCGCTTTACTAAGATTGACAGTTAAAAAACCCAAATACATATCTTCTTGCTAAGGTAAAGATAACAGGATCAAATAGACTATAGCCAACATTTAGAAGATCAGAGCAACTGGGATTAATTATGGGGAAAAAGCACCACAGAAAGCAGTCCTTTCTGCTGAAAGAAATACTGAATGAAGTAAGCGCATATACAAAACCTTGTGAACATAGAAATGTAGGAAATACAATTCTTGACTTCAATAAGGTGTTCATCCTGTTTCTTACAATATGGACCTAAAATAGCTAGTAAGTAATGGTTCATATGATCATTAGCAGAAACTTTGTGCATAGATATATCACTGCCAAAACAGGTATTTAATTTAAAACGTCACAGATTCCAAGTTGGTTTTGTTTTTTTTTAATTGTGTTTCGTTTTATTTTGGTTTATCTTATGGGCTTGTCTGGTTTTAAATCTAACATATTTAGTCACTTATCATAAGAAAATTATTATATTACTCACAACTACCCAAATGTTATAATTGCCTTCATTGGTCACATGCATATAAATACATGTTTTGTCTTTATTTTGTTTTTTGTGGTGTCTTTCTTCTCCACTTCTGGAGGATCACACAAATGAACAAGTGCATTATGAAAGGTTTATGCTTTTAAACTCTCAGTTAAGATGACAGACATCTTTTAAACGCACTCCAAAAGGGCTGCAAAACAACTAATTTTTTATTTTTTATTTTTCTGGTCTAAAATAAACATTACAAAGTCCAAATTAAAATAGAAAGCCACCTTTTAAACCAAAAGTAGTATCTTACTGGGCAAATCAACACTGACCTCTTATTTTTTTGCTATTTTAAAATTCAGTAAAATTATTTTTTAAGATTGTTTAAATACTATCTTGCATTATGAAGCTTTTCAGTTCTGATACTAGTTTAAAAAAAGAGATTTGACATCACACCTGTTTTATTTACTGCTCAATATTTAATACTAAGTATTAGGCTCAAAAGCTCACACATGACAATTATTCACATATGAGTATGGGACAAATTCCTGATGATGCTTCATACACAAATCTTGCAAAAATGTGCTAGGTTACATGCTAGGTTAGTCTTCAGACCTTAAGTATTCAGTTAATTATCTTTGTATAAAAAGGTGATATTGCTTAATTCACTTTTTTTTTTTTTTTTTAATCTATTCACATAGTTCCTTCTATTCCATACTTCCTTATTGCTTCTTTTACTTGTAACAGTGGAAAAAAGTTTCATGCAGACTTTGGCTTTAACCCATTAACAGGTAGGATTACTTAAGGGTAATCAGAAAAAGCTAAAGTTTGGACAGAACTTCTGAAAGTCACTTACCCGACCCCCTTGCTCAAGTTACAGAAGGCTGCCTTGGGTCTCATCCAGGCAGCAGCCACTATCCCAGCCACAAATTTACCAAGTGCGCTTCACCCATCATCCAGATCATTAATGAAGATGTTAAACAGGACTGCACCCATTATTGATCCTCGGGGTACCCCAGCCACTACCGGCCTCCTACTGGGAGATTTTGCACCATCCCCTAATCCTAACCTTCTCATTTTCTTGATCAATTTCCTATTAGTTTGTTTTACTTAGGATGATACTTGGTTCTATGCCATAGCCTAAAGGTTAAAATAAGCATGAATTTATGAGATGGCACACAGTCATTGAATAGATCTTTTCTGTCATTGACATTATGAGATTACCTAAATCCACATTTGCTTTCTAGATGAAGCAAAAAATATTATACACAAATTCCTGCCTTTTTTTCCACAGAATAGTAGGCAGACCTCAAATATATGTATTTTTTAATTTAAAAATGAAATTTCACTTTCTTTCTATTTTACTAGCAAGTGTATCTGATTATTTTGTATTTGTTTGGGAAATGTTCATTTTCAACAAGAAAATGCAGAAAATCACTTAAGTATTAAAAAATATTTCTTACCTGAATTCTTTGACTGATTAAAGATAACAGACAAATTAGTTACTTCAACCTGAACACAGTAGCAGTCTAAGGTACTGTTAAATTCCAAGTTTTTCAACTCTTTAGTAAGTCACTTTTGATTAAAGACTATAAGTCACACCTTCACAAAGTCCTGCTTACTTATGTAAATTAGCTCCTTTTCTCAAGTTGCCTTAAATGAATGTGAAGCTTATTAAACACCACAAATGGACATCACTGTTTTGTCTGAGCTTTGCGATGATGATGCTCCAAAGGAGCTATCTTGCTGTTCTAAAAAGATTGAAAGAAAAAAATTATCCATGCTAAAGAAATGTTTAAGTAGTTCTAAACAATAGATGGGATTAGAAGGCTTATGCAAAGCCTTATCCTTAATGTGACTCATTTAAAAGACTGAACTCATCACCCACTAAAGGAGTTTCCATTCAGTCTGTAAAATATATAAAGTAGGCACAGATGGAGAACATGTTAATTTACACCTGAAAAGCTTAGAGTTTGAAAACTGCTTACCTTATATGAAAGCATTAAGTAATTAAGAATGTGTATCTCATCATATATGTTAATACTCTCTCTTTTTTCTCAAGGTTTTCTAATCTCAGTTTCAAAATCTCTGCAAAAAGCAGATGAAGATATGTTGCTAACTGCAATCAATCTAGGAAGAACCCTTCGAAATGGAGATAGAACTGAAAAGAGAGGAGCAGTGCCTTTGCTGAAACGTTATAAGATTGAGGAAAGCTTCTTGGATGAAAACGATGACAGAAGATTAAAGTTTTTTGTGAGTTTTCAGTTTTGCATTTTTTTAATCGCCTAAGTATTAAATTGAAATTCTTTTCATAGCCCTTTAGAAGACAAGTAATTTAAAGTAATGACTTGTTGGGTACAGGAAAAAAATCAGTTTAGGACTGAATGAAATTTTCTACCATAATTTCTTCTTATGAATTTTCTAATTTCCAGTTTTTAAATGTTTAATCTGGGCAGTTAAATTAAAAAATAAAAAATAATTTAAATAGAAACAAAAGTTTGGGGGGAAGAGCCTACGTTTCAGCATGTCTCTTGTTTTTTTTTTTTTTTTTTTCTAAAGGTAAACTGATAGTCCTGTTTTTCTTCTTAAAACAGGACACTGATTCCAGACATGATTTCTTAAATCATGGTGTACCTATCAGTGCAGGCAGAAAGCAACTACCTTATCTTGCAGTGAAGGGAGCCATTGCTTTTCCAGCTGACACTGAGATTCAGAATATTGAATCAATACAGGAAAGAGAGACAGTGGAAGAAGAAAATTCAGCTAAATTCCCCATAGGAAGGAGAGATTTTGACAGTAAGTACATTTTATTTTTTTCTCTCTTCTTTTTTTTAGATTAATTCTGGTAAGGTATACTTCAGTGTCTCTGAAACCATTTCTTAAAAGCACAGTTAGAAACTCCATTTAATATCTGGGATTTGTTAGTGCTATTTAAATCCTGCATTTCCAACTTGCCTCTACTGTAAACAGTCTGGGGGGTGGGGTGTAGGCATTAGTAGGCCATACAGAATTCTAGTTCTTTGCTATTTTAAACTTTCGCTTTATATTCCTGTAGTGCTCAGATGCATGCTGGGAAGAGTCTATCGACCTTGTTGGCAAGTCTGAAAACTACTGACTCACAGCACCTTCTTTGAAAAAGATTAAATATTTTATTGTGAGTTTAACATGATTGGAAGATATTTGTGTCTTAGTATTCCTACACATATGCATCTAACATTATTTTCATTATATTGCAATGTTGAGAGAAGCATAATTCATTACCAAAACAGAGCATAGTTGTCAATACTGATGTATTCTTAACAAAAATAAAAGATACCTGCATAATCAGACTTGTAAGTATTTGTCTAATTATACACACAAGCTATTTTCATTGATTTGAGTATGAAGAAAAGCAAATCATGAATTTCACCTTTTTCTTACAAAATCTCACTTCTGAAATGCTCAATAGACAATGCAGGTAAAAATAAAAAGTTACACTTTAAAAAATTGAGTTAATTTTGCCTGACCAACAATCAATTTATTCTTGCTTGCAGTTCTGTTGTTCTTTCTTTTTCCATCAATTTTGCTGTCCAATTTCTTCTGAGGGTTGTTTGAAGTCTTACGTTTCTTAGCATTTTTTGGCAAAGATATTTCACTTTCCTCATCATAGATAACTTTGTCATTATTCAAATCCATCTGTTCATTCTTGGAGTTCTTGTTCCTTGGCTGACAACTCAATTTCCCCATTTCTCTATAATTTTTACTCTGATGAACATTTTCAGAAATAGTTCCAAGCACTGGTATGTCAAGACATGAATTCATACCTTCTGTCATGCGAGAATATCAAAAACATATGTGAAGCAATAGAAGTTACCTGGGTTTAATTCATCTGTTTTCTATCAGGACTATCATGTGATTATTTTTTTATCAAAACAATTGCTTTATAAAGCAGAACAAAACTATTCTGGTCATTGCACTTGCATTTGCTACATATTAAGTATGCTGATATTTTAAAATTACTTTGCTCAAAAATAAGCTAAGGAAACTAAATTAGGGAAATTAATTTAAGCTTTTAGATATTAGAAAATATGCATAAAGGATTTAGAATATATATATATGATATAGCATATGGAGGAATAACCCAAACGATTATTTTCTTAAATATATAAATTTCAGTTAGCTTGCTTATGTCAAATAAGAAGTAACATTACACAAAAAGTATCACTTTTTTTTTTACCTTAAGATAGCATCAATACATGTGTTTCAAACAAATTTGAATTTTTAAGATATTAGCATTAAAATTTCAATGCAAAGGCATTTAGCTGGTCACAGTATATACAAAGCAATGAGACATCTATTTTTTTCTTGAAAACATACTTATACATGAATTTTACCAAAGCTTTCTTAGATAACACTTGAAAAATTAGATATCACATTCACATATTCAATTCCACAACGGCTTACCTGTGAAATATTTACCTTGCAAATGTTGCTTTGGTGCAGGATTTATGCAGGCTGGCATTTGTCTACTGCTGAGGAAGTGCTGATCCCTTATTTTACTCAGCTCATTTTTGTATGTACATGCAAACTGAGATTTGATTGAAGATTGCTCCATCTACCAATAATAATTCGTGTTAGCTTTACTTACAGAAGTAAAATACAACACCTGCAGGACTAGTAAAATACTAAATTTCCACTTTGTTGTCTCAAAAGTTTTACTAAAAAATGAGGATACTCACACAAAAAAAGAATTTATATGAAGTATTCAAAATATACAAAAGTATACAAAATACATAAGTTTTCAAGAATACTTACAGCAGTAATAGTGAAACACTGCAAAAGTAATATAAATTAGCCTTCAATATATTTATGTATAAAACTTCTATATAAAATATTATTTCAGATCTCTCTGTGTTAACCTTCAGATTTTGCAATTAATCTCTAAAATACAGGCGTACTGTACACTGATGTCAAGTGCCACATTTGTCAAAACATGCATTGCCAAAAAGCTACAATGGTGAAGAACATTACTGTATCTGGTTCTCTATGTTCACCGCCCTTTCCTAGCTTTGAAAGGAGATAATCTAGTCTTATGGCCCAGGCAAATCAAAATATGTTGTTCAACTACAAAAATTGTGTGAAAATTTTAATATAGTCAATATGTTTACTGGAGTTGGTGATTCCAGGTCAATCTTCCTCAGTTTACACTTAGGTTACAGTTTCTCTGACTATCACTTACTCTAATTCCAGGGCCAAACTTCATACTAGCTGGCCAATTCATCAGAAATGTTATAGAGTCTGCAAGACAATTTGTGCCCTTGCTTCCTTTTGAAAGTCTATTAAATTATTTAAAATACATTGAAAGTTACAGCAGGGATTAGGATTTCTAGCTAATAAATCTGTTAAAATGTCCCAGGTGAATTCTAATAAATATGAGCTGAATGAGAAATGCTGCGCAAACATCAGCAAAAAGAAAATACAGTAAACGTTGTCACAAAATAAATACTGGTTTTATTTTTTTCAGTTGGTTTTGTTGAGTAGGAGGTTTGCAGGCACTTTTAGGATTTAAAAGTTTGCATTATACTTTCCTTCTATGCACAAGCATGTTTAAATACTCTATTTCCAAGATTTCACTTCTATAGATCATTTTGTTCCAATTCAAACTTTCATATTCAAACAGAATAACAGAAAAGAATACATGGCTGGAAATCTCATTTCACGGGGGTCGCAAAATTCAGTCACAGTTTATACCACTTTCATCACACACTGCTTTCATCCACGTAAAGTAATAGACTCTAGCTTTTAGAGGTAGCCTAGTATCTGCATGATACTGCAGTTGATCAGGTGAATATATTTGCTATCTTTTATTTACATAAACATGGGTAATTCTTACTTAATGTGCCCATATCTGTACAGTCTCACTGAAAGATTCATTATAGTCTTCTCCATGTGCTACAGGGGAATTTCTGCTCCAGCATCCAGAGCACCTTATACCCCTCTTCACTGACTTTGGTGTTTGCAGAGATGTTTCTCTCACTTTTCTCATTCACTTCTTACAGCTACCATGCTTACCCTTTCTTAAATATGTTACCACAGAACTATCACCAGCATCACTGATGAAGCCAGCGTTGGCCAGTGTTGGTTTTTTTTATAACTGACTCTGCCCAGCATGCGGGCAGCTCCTGATCTCTTCTCATAGAGGTTACCTGTAGCTCAGCTGCTACACAAAGCTTGCCATACAAACCCAGTAGAGAAGGATGAAACTATACCCAAAGACTCAGAATAAGTATTTGAAACTGCACAAAATGCATGTAGTCATAAAAGATTAGTATCTTTTTTTAACTAAATGTAACATCCCATTTATATAATGTTCAGAACATACATGGCTTAATTTTTTTTAGTTTAGTATTACTGTATTATTATGCTTCCTGGTTTTGCTGTTTCTCCAATGCTTCATCATAATCCTCTAAAATTTACTCGATCCTCAACTTTGTATTAAATGATACACATTATGCAACAATAACCTGCACACAAAATGCTATCACATTCGTATTGCAAGAGGCGAATAAGATGCATTTTGTACTGAGCTAATGAAGATGTAATAAATACAGAACCAAAAAAGCCCATCAAGCAGTCAAGAAAGCTTGACAGTTAACATTCTATAAACAATGAATTATTTTTTGGACATCAGGGTTGTTGTTTTTTTTACGACACCCACAAGACATTTAATGAACTTAATTTTCAGGGATTAGAAAATGTGGAATCAAAGGACCAAATGCTGAAAAAAATTCACAAACTCATCTGTCTGTATTTCAACTGCACTGAAGCATAAAATATGCCTCAAAATTTTGCGCCACATCACATGCTACTCAGCCATTTACAAGCAAATAAAGTACATAAAACTCTACCAAATAGAACTGTTTCAGTTGATCCTAGTACTAAGCTAAAAGGTATATATGAATCAAGACTGCAAAACTAGACTTGTTAAAGCAAACCTCCCAGTTGGTGTAGGAATATAAACCTGCTAGTACAACAACTGTACTACACTGAGTTAGCAACAAGAAAATTCTAATAGCCCGAAGGCAGAACAAAACAGTGTGAGTCTACAGCTGAATCAAAAAGAAAAAGAATGTTCCTTCAAAAAAAAAAAAAAAAAAAAAAAAAAAAAAAGACTAACTTCAAATTTGATTGAGTAACACATAATAAATGCTTTCAACAACTTGGAAAACTCTTAGAAATGAGTGGTTTTGTACATTAAATTCCCCAAACTCTACTGCTTTGAGGGAATCCACATCACCAATCCAATAACCAACCGCTCTGTGAAAGTGAAAAGATGTTGGGAATTCAACTTCCTAAGCAAGTAGCTGCACATAAGTAGGGTGAAATGAACTAAGGCTTGCTGTCCCTGTTCCTCTACACAAGCAAGATGGATATTTCTGTTACACCTATACATATAGGTGTACACACACATAGAAAGAAATTCTAATGAATTCCAGATATAGGGGTTTACTGTTACTATTGTTTAGCTGGAAGAAACTACAACAGCATATAAAATATCCTGTGTTTAGCACATGTAGGTCAGATAGTAGTCCTAACAAACAGAATATGTAGAATATTCTCCCACCTTAACTTCTGAACCTAAAGATTTTCAGTTCATTGAGATGCCAGTATAAAATATTCACAGTTATGCAAAAAATTAATGGTGCGTGGTCTATTTCTTTCTAAAAGTTAGTTGATAATCTATTCCAGACCTCCTTCACCATCTGCATACAGTCAGTACTGCCAATACTTAGTCAGTAAGAATGTTAAGATTTGGGTTTTATATGCTGGAATAGCTTAATAGAATTTGAAAACCTACATCAGTAACAACAAACACATGTTTTTATTTTCCAGCCAAACAATTAGAATACTATTTGGAAGAGGAAGAGAGAGATAAAAAGTAGAGAAAAATGTATTCTCTGCATCTTTACTTGTTTTCTTTCAGAAAACATAGTAAAGGTAAGTTGAAAGAAAGAAAGGAAGTGTTAAGGGAAGAGAAATAAAATATTAAAAAAAAAAAACAGTAAACACAATCATCAAAATAAGGCATCATATTATTCAACCACAAAAAAACCATCTTGACTAGTAGCTCAGGTAATAGCAAGCTTTTATTTTACCAAATCTGACAATTCTTTTAGCATGACATTCTACCAATCTTCGCAATCCTAAATTAACTTACTACTGTTTTGAAAGCATTCAGCCACAAATTATCACACAACGGTTTCAAGAGTGCTCATAATTCACAGCTAGGGATCCTTAGAAAGTTTTTCAGGTGTCTTGTAGTAATAATAACGGTATTTCCCCCAGAAGTATAGTTTATCAAGTACCTGATGAAGAAAAACAGCCTGTCTTTAGATCTTTTATTGAACATAATCTATACCTCCCCTTCCTTTTCTCCTTCAGGTTTTCATTTTTTAGCTCATTTCATAACCACCAAAACTACTAATCAATTTACATTCCATAATTACATTCCAGTCAGAAATTTCATTTTTACAATAGATAATATGTCTGCCTGAGATGGATTATTTTCTCTATTGCTATGCCTTTTCTACCCATAGTTACAATGGGCATGCAGAAAACTCTTGATAACTTCCTGTTGACAATTTTCCAAGTTAGAATTTATTTGCACTGGAATCACAAACAGGCAAAACAATTTTCTCAAGTAACAGCATTTAGGGAAACTAAGCAGTGAAAAATAACATCAGTGCTTGAATCTAGAAATTAAATCACTTTGTATAGGCATGAACAAGTCACATGAGAAAGGCAGAGTGGAATTGTTTGCTCTGTGGAGTTTTTTTCCTTGGGAGGATTTCTATACACAGTGAAATTACAATGAATATCAAACATGCCAACCTTTGTTAGAGTTTTATTCAGCCACAGATTGTTTTAAAACTAAAACTACAGTTATGTTCCCAATCAGAGGAAAACAGTGTTTCAAATAGGAAAGGTGGTCTCCTGTTACATTAAGAAAAAAAAATAACATGCCAAACTACTGAAAGTTCTTGCAGCTGTCATGGAGTAAATGTGTTAGCAGTGTAGCAGGATTATTAACACAATGCATTAAAAGGCTGAAACAACCTTCAATTTCCAAAATAATATAAAAATATGCTACTCTTTCACATATTGTATGCTTATGGCCTAATAGCTTTTGTTCCTTCCTTCATAATTGCTAATGTTCACACCCAAAGTCATCAGTTCTATCCAGTACAGTGTTTTACCTACCACTTGAAACGTCAGTTTATCTTTTGAGGTGCAGAGGAAAAACTAAATCTTTATTATGCATTCTGTTTATTCCCCTAAGTTGATCTTTAACCTAATCAAAGGAGGTGATTATTACAATCATTCCATTCCTCTCACACAAAAGTAATTACTACTTAAATAATACCATTGCATTCACAAATTGTTAAACAGTAGGGTTTAAAATTAATTTAAGTATAATTCAAAGTACTAGACATAAGTTTGGAATACCTCGTTTTAGATAAAGTAACTCTCTCTTGTCTAGTTAAGTGGTCTATTTTCTTTTATGAAGCAGAAACTGAATGCAAGAAAAACTGGCTGCGAGAGACAGAAGTGAATAGATATTCTGTGGGCCTTTCTGAATTAAATATTTTTTTCCACAAAATACCACTCGCCATTAAGATACTTCCCTTTAACAGTGGATAGGAAATTTGAAACACAACTCAATCACCTCTCATTGGAAGATGAAATTGAATTTCTCGTTATTACTCTGACTTGTTTCTGCTGGAGGGAATGAAAAGGTGAAACATACTAGATCTCCAAACTTCTTCCTCTTCAAGGAACTGAGCACTAGCATTGCCTTCTAACAAATGCCTTTATAGTTAGGGAATATTTTTGCATCTATTCCAGTATCTAATGAGGACTGCAAGAGGAAATATTTCTTCTTCACTGTTGCCAGGCACTGGTTTTTGGAAAACGGAAATACTCATAGAGTTACCTTATTTTTAAATGTATTACAATTCATAGCTACCTGCTTACTTTTCCCACTTTCTTTATTCTTAGATACAAAACACATGTGCACTACGTTGTGCTCCATGTTTAAATACTGATCTGTCGTTCTTTGCAATTCTTCAGATGTGAAAAGTCAGTTCCTATTATGGAAGGAGGGGATATCATTTTTATTTTTATTATTCCTACTTTTAATTTAGTGAAGTATCCCTTTTTCCCATTGCTTAAGGGATTTTCCCAAAATTCCTTATTCAACATACAATTCATGATGGGGCTCAGCATATAACTAAGCTAATCATCACTTTCCCTCAATATCACAGTAAAGAAAACTTTTATTGCAAATTATTACAAATCCAAATGGCTGATGGTGAGTTAGCACTGTAGGTTAACAATCTGACCATGTCAAAAGAGGCAGCGTGAAAAAGAGCCCTCATGACAATTTTATGGAACTAATGCTACCATCACATAAGAAATTTCTCAGGAGAATCGGTGACATTGAAAAGAAGCATCATATTTCTACTGTATAATTCAGAATCCATGTACGTTATCTCTTGTGAGTCAATTTTGAAATCTGTGTGTTATGCATAGCAAAATTTACAAGTACAAATTTTAGAGGCAACCTGTAAGTTATGACTTCATACAACAATTTTGGAATGTGAAAACTGATACTCAGCATAAGAAGGTGATAAACAGTAATACAGCGCCTGAGATCTATGGTCAGGGACAAGGAATTCATTGTACTATGTGCTGCACAGTAAGGACAGAACAAGAAATATTTCTACCAAGGGACATTACAATCTAAGACAAGAAATATATGGATTCATAGGGAAAGAAATCCAAATTAGTCATTGTAATGGGCATCCACCTCAATACATAAAACTGCTAAATTTCGAGGAGAGGTTGATTTAAAGGTACTGAAAAAGCTTTTAAAAGAGGATAATGAGCTCTGCAGATACCCATAGCAAATCTCTTCAGCTATAAGAAATAGTATAAAGCAAAAAAATTGAAAGAACCAGGCTGAAAATTAATAAACCAACAAGGAAAATTGGTACCGTAGGCTAAATGTAAGTAAGAACGTGTATCTCAGAGCAGCAAAATAGAAATAATCAGTGTGGCTAAAGATACGTTAAAACAAGTAGTTTGTATCTACTACCACTTAACAGATTGATATGCAAACAGAAGAATGGCATTTACCTTCTAAATGCTTTGCTGTTCAACAGCTGTCAGTCTCGGTGAAGATAGGCTAAATCTGCACATATCATCTACCAAGTCCAAGAAAAATATACCACTGTGATCAAAAAGCAAGCTGAATCTTTAATGATTTATAGTCAAATTGACATATGGATAAAGGAGAATATATTCTACAGTTGCTATAATGCAAAAAAGTAGCAGATAGGGTACTATTCTCAAAGTTAAATATATTAAGACAGACAGACATACTTAAAAGAAGTTTTTTATAGAAGAAGTTACAAAAATTGCTAGTTTTGACAAAAGAGATACTTAGGTTACATATAGATTTATGAATTATTCATACATAGCTGATAGCTGAACTTGTTTGTAGATGTATTCTTCCACAAAGAAGGTAAGAAAAAGAAGGTATGATCCCAAATGTCTTCTAAGTAAGAAAAGAAAGGGGGAAAAATACGTAAAAGAAACACTGTAGAAATTGTAAGAAAGGCTACCAGGAACAGACAAAAGAAGAATAAAAAAGAAAATCTACATCTTCTGTGAGAGAATGGAGATCAAAGATGAAGGTTGGAGAATTATCTCTGAGTTTCAGCTGGAAAAGTCATTAGCTGTTTTGGTAACAGCAATTTTGATTAACTGATGGGAGAAGCAAGACTAAAGAGAGCATAGGAATACCAGAAGAACAATCTCAGACTTTACAAGCATATAGTATAGTTTGGATGGTAAACGTTTGGCTAATACCCAGAAAACAGAATTGCAAGCAATGTGAAACATTCAGGCAATGTGAAATAGTCTGGGTAAGAAGACTCTGTACTGATACATATTTGCACTTACATTTTGTACAACATTATTTTTTATTTATGATTTTTCAATATGGAAAAACATCTTGAGAAAGCTGGCCTCAGTTCCATGCAGTGTTTTTTTCTCACTGATACGATAGGATACATTGGAAGAAAGCCATGAAGAAGACTGTTTATGATTACAAAAGACAGTTCGGCAGCCCCAGTGTTCCTTTAAGACATGAGCTGTGTTGTTCCAAGTGGCCTTTTAGTTAAAAATTAATCACATTCACCTTAGCATCCATTCTGCTGAAGTAAAAGTGAGTCAAATCTTACAGGTTTAATCTACAAAAAACTGTAGGTAATCTTTACAATTGAATGTTGTACTAAGGAACATGGTGGGTAAGTATTGGTGGTGGATGGTTGGACTAGATGGTCTCAGAGATCATTTCCAATCTTGGTGATTCTGTGATTGTTCTATGATCTATGATTGTTCTAAGGATAAACCACAGACTTTATACCTGTTCCTTGTTCTCCTTGTATTTTGATTTTCTTAAGATAAAAGGTAATTTACATTTCAACATAGTTGTCCTCGTTTATAATGAGGGCACATTGTGAGTGTCAATATCAGTTTTAGAAGTAGACTGAAAGACTTCAACAAAGACTGGCTAAAAATAATAGATATTTCATTCTATTTTGCTACAGACACATTCTGTGTCATCAATCACAGTGAAAACAAGGCTGAAACAAAAGTCATGGAGAAAAAGTCACTCCTTGTATTGTGTTAACAGGGGATATAGGAATCACAATATCTTTCTTAGGCAATATAGAATCAATTCAGGAGGCTGTCATGATTAAATACCTTCGGTAAGAACTACAATTTACATAGAAATTCTCTATAGAAGCTAATCTCATGTTTTTGATTAGCAAAAAACTATTAAAAAAAAAAAAAGAAGAATGATTTCATAACAGGAATCAATCTCAGGTTTCATATTTTTGATAGTTTCTGTGAGAAACTTTGTATGTTCCTGGTAAAGATCCAAAACTTGACAGGCAATTAACTTTAGACTTTCTTTTGTGCTTTAACACTGAACATAACTTCATGAACCCAATTACAAAACCTCAGTTCAGACAGAAAAAACTGTCTATTTCAATGTATTATATAAATGGCATATTACATTTTTGCTATTTGATGAATAAAGCTGCAACTTAGGCTATTTATAGTAAAATTATCATGAATATCATTTATCAGCTCCAATCTTTTCAAATGTTTTCCCATTAGTTTCGAGGTAGATTTCACCTTAACTAGTGCATGCATCTAAAACAACAGCCTCACTCCTCTACTTGTCTAAAAAGCATATTCTGTGCAGAATCAAAGTATATTTAAAGCACTTGTTGGAGAAACTGACAATAATTTTCATTCTAATTCCTTTCAATCACTTTCTATTTCTTATACATGTAATACGTAAAAATTCCCTTCATCTTCACTGGCAGAGATATATTTTCCATTGTGCTCTACCAAAACTAATCCTGATGGCCTATAAAACTTGTTTCCTTATTTACATACTAATTATGTTTTCATCTGTTGTCATAACTAATTTTGTAAAAACTAGTCAGTACTTTCATTTAGTTCTCTGTTGAAATGCCATGGAAGATACATAGTCTGTCTCTGTCTACAGTTCCAACATTAAAATTTGACAATTTTGAGAAAAAGAGATGATGTAAAATGCAATTTTACGAAGGGTGTAATTTTCAGAAACACTGAAGTTGTTCTATTAAATAGAGCCACTTACAATACCAGTATACTGTAATGTTTTATTTCCCCTAGAAAATAGCAAGCATTACTGCACTTTATTGTATGCATTTTATGTATACAATAAGGGAAATGTAAATGAAATGTTACAAACAAATAGCACTCTGAAAAAAAACCAACAGTTAATCATTACTTTAGAATTGAAATCTGGTCCCTCTTTTCAATCTTATTTTTCCTTTCACATGCCTTCAGATTTAATCCTACAGTCCTGAGATGCACAGAGAGCTAATTTAGGAGATATAGATTTATGCATTACATTGTCATTATGAGATCTTCACAACTAAGTATTTTTAGTAAGCTTAAAGACTTTTCTGGAGTATTGCACGTTCTCATTCAATACGGTTTGAGTTAGGCCATTAAGCACAAGGTAACCAATTATTTACCTACTGAATACCATCCAGACAAATATTCGAAAATTTTATCACGATTATTTTCATCTTAGCATTACTATTTCAGTGCATCCATATGTGTATAGCACATTCTGTACAGTACCTTACTTATTTTTTCATCCACAGACTTCTGAATACGCTGTCTAAGAGGTTTTGGAGCAGATTCTTTGGACTGTGCTGGCGATCTATGTTCAAAAGAGATATGAAGTATTCAGAACAAATAAAAATTTATTTAAAAAAAAATAATAATAATAAAATAAAAATAAAATAAAAAAATAAAATTTATTTTATTTAGCTCAATTTTTTTTAAGTTCCATTTTTATGCGGCACTAAATTTCTGCCTGCCTTTTCAATGTATTTAAATTGCCAAAATATGTAATTTCTACATGTTCCCATCTATTGCATTTTTACGGCTCATGTGTTCTCCTTATGACCCATAGTGACAAAATCCTCAGCATCCCACTTTTCCAAAGCCTGGTGCTTCCTCAGGATAAGTGATCAGTTAAATCATTGCTGCCTCTCCACTCTATGGATATATTAACTTATTTTTCCAACAAAAATTGCTTTGAAAGA